TTCTCATTATTGGCTGTTACCACTTCACATCTCACCAGCCGCTAGAGGGTACACAGGTCTCTAAAATCCCTTCAGCATTTATTGTTTGTATACTTTTTGCTGATGGTCAGTCGACTGGTGTGAGTTGAAAGCTTTTTGTAGATTAGATTTGCATGAGCCTAATAATTTTTGATATTGAGCTTTTATCCATTTTCGTTTTCTGTTTAAAGAGGGTGAGTAAAACTTACCTCCTCATTTTATCTTCTTGAACATTTTGCCGGTTTGGAATTTTTTTGGCCATTCCTTACCCCAGGATATTTTTTGAGGAGAGGTGTCCTTTACAGCCCTGAGTCCTTGTGAATGTTAAGTGACCATTAGATGTGGGTTTAATCCGCTCTTGCGGGAAATGGCCACAAGGCGATAGTATTTCTGCATTTCCAATCTGGGTTTTATATTTCATAGAATTATTATCCCTGAATCATAATTCTGTTAGTACACCAGTACAGAGATTGTTTCTTAATATTTAGGTTAGAACAATTTTCTTCTGTGCTTGAGAATAATTCTGTAAACTCATTTCCAGTAATGGCACTCTTCCCCAAATCCAAGGTTCAACAAGGGAGATCGAAGCTGAATAATGATGAAAACACAAAGCAATACAACAGCAACAAAAAAATTTCTAACTTCCAATAACAACTCAATTTAGAAGTGGGTTTATACGTTCAGAATAAAAGCATTCCTCCTTGACTTTCTAACCAGTCAAAATCTCTGTATATACAGAAAATATGCGATGTTATTCCCATAAAACTACTCTTTAATGCTTCTGCCTCCATTAGAATTCCTAAGCACTAGTGTTTTAATTTACAGGTTGAAAACAAAATCCTAATGTGATTTACTTATAATGTGTGTGTTCTTTGTCTTATCCTAGTGTCTAAAGTCCTCTCCATGGCTGGACCCCAAATAATATTCCTTTACATGCTAAGTGATATCTGGATATTGGGAGAGGATTAATAAATACACTAACCATAAAGCGTACCCTAATCCTAACCCTAACTCCTAACCTAACAGTAACACATACACTAACCCTAACCGATACAGATACACTAAGCCTAATCCGTAACCTAAACCTAACCCATACCCTAACCCTATCCCGTACCCTAAACCTAACCCATAGCTGTACCTTAACCTGTACCCTAAACCGTACCCGTTCCCTAACTGTAACCTTAACGCTAAACTGTACTCTGACCTGTACCCTAATCCTAACCCGTACCCTAACACTAACATTCCCTAACCCGTACCCTACACCTAACATGTAGCCATACCCGAAACTGTACCCTAGCCCTAACCCTAACCCTAACCCTAAACCATACCCCAACCAATACACTAACACTAACATGTACCATAAACTGTACCCTACCTCTAACCTGTAGCCATACCCTAAACTGTACCTTAACCGTAACCCATACTCTAACCCTAAACCTAACCATAACCTGTACCCCAATCTTAAACCGTATCCTAACACTAACTCATATCATAACCTGTGCTGTAACCCTAAACCGTGGCCATACCCTAAACTGTACCCTAACCCTAACCAGTAGCGTAACCCTAATCTTAACTTGTACCCTAAACCATATCCTAATCCTAACCCATACCATAACACTAACCCGTAACCTAACACGTACCCTAACCCTCACCAGTTGCCGTACACTAATCTGTTGCCTAAACCCTACCGGTGCCCTAACACTAAACCTAACCCTAGCCCTTACCCTAACCTGTACCCTAATCCTAACCTGTACACTAACACTAACCCATACCCTAACATGTACCATAACCCTAACCTTTAGCCATACCCTAAACTGTACCCTAATGCTATTCCGTACCCTAACCCTAACTCTAAACCATACCCTAACCTGAAACCTAATCCTAACCTGTAACCTAACACTAACCCATACCCTAACCCGTATCCTAACCTTAACCCATAGCCATACCCTAAACTGTACCCTAACCCTAACCCATACCCTAATCCTAACCCGTACCATAACCCTAACCCATAGACTAACCCATACCCTAACCCTAACCCGTAGCCATACCCTAACCTGTACCCTAAACCATACCCTAACATGGATCCTATCCCTAACCTGTACCCTAATCCTAACCTGTACCCTAACCCTAACATGTACCCTTCCCATACCCTAAACCCTAATCCTTACCGCTAACTTAATTTTTTTGTATTTTAAAATATATTTTTCTGGGGTTAAAACAAATTAGCAGAACAACAAAATAAAACAGAAAGTAACCTGAGTGTCCCTCAAAAAGCTAAGTCTGAAATACTTGGTATTTCTGTTCTATGGACTGTTATGTAGCCTATAAAAAGTGAGAGAGCTAAATTTGATTTTCTACAGTGAGAAACATGATGTTCCAGATATAATGAACTCCTGGATAAAATGAGAAAGCTACACATTATGCTGGTCGTTTCAGGGAGTGGGAGAACATGGTATGTGGTAAAATATTTTCTTTTCTTTAATCCTTTTAAAATTCACTTGTTACAAAGAACTTGAATTATAATTGTACTTTTGAAATGTAACAATGGACACTTAAAAGAAAAGAATATATATATTGTGTTTAATTACATTTCATAGAATTGTATCCCTGAATCATAATTCTGTTAGTACACCAGTATAGAGATATTTCTTAACATTTAGGTGAGAACAGTATCCTTCTGTTCTTGAAAATAATTCTGTTAACTCATTTCCAGTAATGGCACTTTCCCCAAATCAAAGGTTTAACAAGGGAGATGCGAGCAGCATAATCATGAAAACACAAAGCAATACAACAGCAACAAAAAATTTCTAACTTCAAATAACAGCTCAATTTAGAAGACGGTTTATATCTTCAGAACAAAAGCATTCCTCTTTGACTTTCTAACCAGTCAAAATCTGTGTATTCTACAGAAAATCTGTGATGTTATTCCATAAAACTACCTTTTACTGCTTCTGCCTCCATTAGATTTCTTAAGCACTAGTGTTTTAATGTACAGTTAAACATTAATGTGATTTACTTATAATGTGTGTGTTCTTTGTCTTATCCTAGTGTCTAAAGTCCTCTCCATGGCTGGACCCCAAATAATATTCCTTTACATGTTAAGTGATATCTGGAGAGTGGGAGAGGATTAATAAATACACTAACCCTAAAGCGTACCCTAACCCTAACTCGTATCCTAACCCTAACCCGTAACCTAACCCTAACCCATACACCCAGCCTACCCCCACCCTAATCCTAAACTGTACCCTAACCCTATCCTGTACCCTAAACCTAACCCATAGCCATACCCTAAACTGTACCCTAAACGGTACCCTAACCCTAAACCTAAACTGTACCCTAACCCATACCCTAATCCTAACCCATACCCTAATCCTAACCCATACCCTGACACTACTGTTACCCTAACCCGTACCCTACCACTAACCTGTAGCCATAATCTAATCTGTACCCTAACCCTAAATCGTAACCTAACCCTAACACTAACCCTAACCCTAAACCATACCCTAAACAGTACCTTAAACCTAATCCATACCCTAACACTAACACGTACCCTAACACGTAACCCAACCCTAAATCATAGCCATGCCCTAAACTGTACCCTAAACCTAAACCATACCGTAACCCTAACCCTAACCCATACCCGAAACTGTACCCTAATCCTAACCTGTAGCGTAACACTAACCCATACCCTAACACATAGCATAACCCTAACCCATCGCTGTACACTAACCTGTACCCTAAACTGTACCCATGCCGTAACGCTATCACTAAACCTAACCCTATACCTTACCCTAACCCCTACCCTAATCCTAACCCATACACTAACAATAAACTGTACCCTAACACCTACCCTAACCCTAACCCATAACCATACCCTATACTGTACTCTAACCCTATCCCGTACCCTAACCCTAACCCTATCCTGTACCCTAACCCTAAACTGTACCCTAACCTGTACCCTAATCCTAACCCGTACCCTAACACTAACCCTTACCCTAACCCGTACCCTACCTCGAACCCATAGCCTTACCCTAAACTGTACCCAAACACTAACCTGTAGATTAACCCTAACCCTAAACCATATCCTAACACGTATCCTAATCCTAACCCGTACCCTAAAACTAAACTGTAACCTAACATGTACCTTAACCATAAACCCTAGCCATACCCTAAACTGTACCCTAACCCTAACCCGTACCATAACCCTAACTGTAACCTGTACCCTAAACCGTACCCTAACCTTACTGTAACCTAACACTAACCCGTACGCTAACATGTACCCTATCCATAACGCATTGCCATACCCTAACCTGTACCCTAAACTGTAGCCGTGCCCTAACCCTAAACCTAAGCCTTACCCTAACCTGTACCCTAATACTAACCCATACACTAACACTAACCCGTACTGTAACACATAACCCTAACCCATAGTCATACCCTCAACTGTACCCTAACTCTATCCCGTATCCTAACCCATACCCTAATCCTAAACCGTACCCTAACAGTAAACCATACCCTAAACCGTATACTAACCCTAACCTGTAGACATACCCTATCCTGTACCCTAAAATGTACACTAACCCTAACCCTAACCCGTACCCTAACCCATACCCTAATCCTAACCCGTACACTAACACTAACCCATACCCTAACCCATACACTAACCATAAACCGTAGCCATACCCTAAACTGTACCCTAAAACCTAACCCCTTACCATAACTGTAACCCTACCTAGTATCCTAATCCGTACCCTAATCCTAACCTGTACCCTAACTCTAACCCATACCCTAACACTAACTGGTACCCTAACACATACCTTAATCCTAATCCATAGTCATACCCTAAACTGTACGCTAAACCTAATCTGTACTGTAACTCTAATCCTAGCCCTAAACCGTACTCTAAACCATACCCTAATATTTATCCATACCCTAACACTAACCTGTAACCTAACACATACCCTAACCCTAACCTGTTGTCATACACTAACCTGTACCCTAAACCGTACCTGTGCCCTAACACTAACCCTAAGCCTTATCCTAACCCTTACCCTAACCCATACTGTAATCCTAACCCATACACTAACACCCATACCCTAACATGTACCCTAACCCATAGTCATACCCTTAACTGTACCCTAACCCTATCCCGTACCCTAACCCTATCCCTAACCCTAATCCTAACATGTACCCTAACAGTAAACCATACCCTAAACCATATCCTAACCCTAACCTGTAGCTGTACCCTAACCTATACCCTAAACTGTACACTAACCTTATCCCTAACCCTAAACCTAACCCTGACACTAACCCGTACCCTAATCCTAACACGTACCCTAACACTAACCAGTACCCTAACCCATACACTAACCCTAACATGTACCCTAACCCGTATTGTAACCCTAACCAGTAACATAACCCATACCCTAAACCTAACCCATAGCCGTACCCTAACCTGTACCCTAACCTGTAACTAAACCTAACCCTAACCTGTACCCAAACCCATACCCTAACCCTAACCTGTACCCTAACACTAACCCATACCCTAACTCATAACCTAACCCGTACCCTAAACCCTAATCCTTACCCCTAGCTTAATTTTTTTTTGTATTTAAAAAAATATTTTTCTGGGGTTAAAACAAATTTGCAGAACAACAAAATTAAACAGAAAATAACCTGATTGTCCCTCAAAAAGCTAAGTCTGAAGTACTTTGTATTTCTGTTCTATGGATTATTATGTTGCCTATAAAAAGTGTGAGAGCTAAATTTGTTTTTCTACAGTGAGAAACATGATGCTCCAGATGTAAGGAACCCCTGGATAAAATGAGAAAGCTACACATTATGCTGGTCATTTCAGCTAGTGGGAAAGGATGGCAAGAGGTAAAATATTTTCTTTTCCATTAATCTTTTTAAATTTCACTTGTTACAAAGAACTTGAATTATAATTGTACTTTTAAAAAGTAACAATGGAAATTAAAAAAATATATATAGTGTGTTTAATTACATTTCATAGAATTATTATCCCTGAATCATAATTCTGTTAGTACACCAGTATAGAGATTATTTCTTAATATTTAGGTGAGAACCATTTCCTTCTGTTTTTGAGAATAATTCTGTAATCCTAACCCATACACTAACACTACCATGTATCCTAACACGTACCCTACCCTAACCCATTGCCATACACTAAATTGTACTCTAAACCATACGCGTGCCCTAAACCTAACCCTAACCCTAAGACTTACCCTAATCCTAACCCGTACACTAACACTAACTCATACCCTAACACATACTCTAACACAAACCCGTAGCCATACCCTAAACTGTACACTAACCCTATCACATACACTAACCCTAAACCATACCATGACCCTTACCCTAATCCTAACCCATACCCTAACCTGTAACCTAACCCTAAACCATAGACATACCCTAAACTGTACCCTAACCCTAACCTGAACCCTAGCCCTAAACCTAACCCTAACTCGTACCCTAACCTGTACCCTAATCCTAACCTGTACCCTAACACTAAAGTGTACCATAAATCTTATCTCAACCCTAACCCATAGACAAACACTAACCTGTACCCTAAACTGTACACTAACCCTAAACCTAACCCTAACACTAACCTGTACCCTAATCCTAACCCATACACTAACACTAACCCATACCCTAACCTGTACCTTAATCCTAAACCGTAGACATACCCTAAACTGTATCCTAACCCTAACCCCTTACCATAACCCTATCCTTAAACTGTATCCTAGACTGTACCCTAATCCTAAACCATACCCTAGCACTATCCCATACCCTAACATGTACGCTAACACTAACCCATTGCCATACCATAACCTGTACCCTAAACCATACACGTGCCCTAACCCTAACCCTAACCCTTACCCTAACCCATACACTAAAACTAACCCATACCCTAACACGTACCCTATCCCATTGCTGTACCCTAAGCTGTACCCTAAACTGTAAACGTACCCTAACACTAACCCAAAATTGTACCCTAACCCAAACCCTAATCCTGACCCATAACCTAACACTAACCCATAACCTAACACGTACCCTAACCCTAACAAGTAGCCATACCCTAAACTGTACCCTAACCCCACACTGTACCCTAACCCTAACACTAAACCTAACCCTAAACCATACCCTAACCTGTACCCTAATCCTAAACAGTACTCAAACACTAACCTGTACCCTAGCCGGTACCCTAATCCTAGACCATAGCCATAACCTAAACTGTACCCTAACCTGTACCCTAATCCAAAACAGTACTCAAATACTAACCTGTACCCTAGCCAGTACCCTAATCCTAAACCATAGCCATAACCTAAACTGTACCCTAACCCGTATCCTAACCCTAACCTGTAGCCAAACCCTAACCTGTACCCAAAACCGTACACTAACCCTAACACTAACCCTAACCCATATCCTAAACCGTACCCTAACACTAACCCATACACTAACACATACCCTATCACTAACCCATTGCTGTACCCTACTGTGTACCCTAAACCGTACTGGTGCCTGACCCCGAACTTTAATACTAACCCTAACCCTAAACTGTACCCTAACCCATACCCTACTCCTAACCCATACCATAACGTTAACCCATACCCTAACACGTACCCCAACCCTAAACCGTAGCCATACCATAAACTGTACCTTAACCCTATCCCATACCCTAACGCTTACCCTAAATGTAACCCTAATCCATACCCTACCACGTACCCGAATCCTAACCAGTACCCTAACCCTAACCCAAACTCTAAACCGTAGCCATACCCTAAACTGTACCCTAACCCTAACCCATACCCTAACTGAAACCCTAACCCTAAACTGTACCCTAAACCATACCCTAATTCTAAACTGTACCCTAACCCACATTCTACCCAGAACCTGTAGCCATACCCTAAACCGTACCCTAACGCTAACCCGTACCTTAACCCTAAACCTAAACCGTACCCTAACCCATACCTTAATCCTAACTTGTACCCTAACACTAACCCATACCCTAACACTAAACCGTAGCCATACTCTGAACTGTACCCTAACCCTAAGCCGTACCGTAACCCTAACCTTAACCCATACCCTAAACCGTATCCTAATCCTTACCCTTACCCTAACACTAACCTGTACCTTATCATGTACCCTAATCCTAACCCATTGCCACACCCTAATTTGTCCCCTAAACTGTACCCATGCCCTAACCCTAAACCTAAACATTACACTAACCTGTACCCTAATCCTAACCCGTACACTAACACTAAACCATACTCTAACACGTACCCTAACACTAACCTGTAGTCATACCCTAAACTGTACCCTAACCCTATCCCGTGCCCTAACCCTAACCCTAACCCGTACCCTAACCCATACACTAACCCGTACTCTAACCTCTACTCCTTACACCTAACTAAAATTTTTTTTGTATTAAAATATTTCCTGGGCTTAAAACAAATTAGCAGAACAACAAAATAAAACAGAAAGTAACCTGAGTGTCCCTCAAAAAGCTAGGTCTGAAATACTTGGTACTTCTGTTCTATGGACTGTTATGTTGCCTAAAAATGTGTGAGAAATAAATCTGTTTTTCTACAGTGCTAAACATGATGTTCCAGATGTAAGGAACACATGGATAAAATGAGAAAGCTACACATTATGCTGGTCGTTTCAGGGAGTGGGAAAGGATGGCAAGAGGTAAAATATTGTCTTTTCGTTAATCTTTAAATTTCACTTGTTACAAAGAACTTGAATTATAATTGTACTTTTCAAAGTAACAATAGAAATTTAAAAGAAAAAATATATTGTGTGTTTAATTACATTTCATAGAATTATTATCCCTGAATCATAATTCTGTTAGTACACCAGTATAGAGATTATTTCTTAATATTTAGGTGAGAACCATTTCCTTCTGTTCTTGAGAATAATTCTGCAAACTCACTTCCAATAATGGTACTCTTCCCCAAATCAAAGGTTCAACAAGGGAGATGCAACCAGAAAAATCATGAAAACACAAAGCAATACAACAGAAACAAAAAATTTCTAACTTCCAATAAAAACTCAATTTAGAAGAGGGTTTATATCTTCAGAACAAAAGCATTCATCCTTGACTTTCTAACCAGCGAAAAACTGTGTATTCTACAGAAAATCTGTGATGTTATTCCCATAAAACTACCCTTTAGTGCTCCTGTCTCCATTAGATTTCCTAAGCACTAGTGTTTTAATGTACAGGTAAAAACCAAAATCCTTATGTGATTTACTTGTAATGTGTGTGTTCCTTGTCTTATCCCAGGGTCTAAGGTCCTCTCTATGGCTGGATCACAAATAATATTCTTTTACATGCTAAGTGATATCTGGAGAGTGGGAGAGGATTAATAAATACCTAACCCAAAACCGTACCATAACCGTAATCCTAACTCTTACCCTAACCCTAACCTATACCCTAAACATAACCCATACACTAAGCCTAACCCGTACTCTAAAGCAAACCCATACCCTAACTCTATCCAATACCCTAACCCTAACCCATAGCTGTACCCTGACCTGTACCCTAAACTGTACCCTAACTCTAAAACTTATCCGAAACTCTACCCTAACCCATACCCTTATCGTAACCCGTACCATAACACTAACCCACACCATAACATGTACCCTAACCCTAACCCATTGCCGAACACTAACCTGTTCCCTAAACCGTACCCATGCCCTAATGCTAACCCTAAACCTAACCCTATCCTTTACCCTAACCCGTACCCTTGTACTAACCCTTACACTAACACTAACCCGTACCCTAACATGTACCCTAACCTTAACCCATTACCATACCCTAAACTGTACCCTAACCCTATCCCATTCCCTAACTGTAACGCTAAACTGTACCCTAACCTGAACCCTAATCCTAACCTGTACACTAACACTAAACCGTACCATAACCCATACCCTAGCCCTAAACCGTAGCCATACCCTAAACTGTACCCTAATCCTAACCCATACCCTAACCCTAACCTGTACCCTAATCTGTACCCTAATAATAACCCATACCCTAACACTAAACCATACCCTAACCCGTATCCTAATCCTAACACGTAGCTGTACCCTAACCTGTACTCTAAACCGTACACCACTAGCCCTAACCCTAACACTAACCTGTACCCTAACCCATACCCTAATCCTAACCTGTACCATAACACGGTACCCTAACCCTAACCTGTAGCCATACCCTAAACTCTACCCTAACACTAACCTGTACCCTAACCCGTACTGTAACCCTAACCTGTAGCCTAACCCATACCCTAAACCTAACCCGTAGCCATACCCTAACCTGTAACCTAACCTGTACCCTAACCCTAACCTGTACCCTAATCCCAACCTGTACCCTAACCATAACCTGTACTCTAAACTGTAGCCTAATCCCTAATCCTTACCCCGAAATAATTTTTTTTTTGTATTATAAAAAATATTTTTCTAGGGTTAAAACAAATTAGCAGAACAAGAAAATAAACGGAACATAATCTGAGTGTCCCTCAAAAAGCTAAGTCTGAAATACTTGGTACTTCTGTTCTATGGACTGTTATGTAGCCTATAAAAAGTGTGAGAGCTAAATTTGTTTTTCTACAGTGAGAAACATGATGCTCCAGATGTAAGGAACACCTGGATAAAGTGAGAAAGCTACACATTATGCTGGTCGTTTCAGGGAGTGGGAAAGGATGGCAAGAGGTAAAATATTTTTTTTCCTATAATCTTTTTAAATTTCACTTGTTACAAAGAACTTGAATTATAATTGTACTTTTAAAATGTAAGAATGGAAATATAAAAGAAAAAATATATATATTGTGTGTTTAATTACATTTCATAGAATTATTATCCTTGAATCATAATTCTGTTAGTACACCAGTAGAGATTATTTCTTAATATTTAGGTGAGAACCATTTCCTTCTGTTTTTGAGAATAATTCTGTAAACTTTTTTCCAGTAATGGCACTCTTCCCCTAATCAAAGGTATAGCAAAGGAGATGCAAGGAGAATAATCATGAAAACACAAAGCAATACAACAGCAACAAAAAATTTCTAACTTCCAAAAACAGCCCAATTTAGAAGAGGGTTTATATCTTCAGAACAAAAGCATTCCTCCTTGACTTTCTAACCAGTCAAAATCTGTGTATACTACAGAAAATCTGTGATGATATTCCCATAAAACTACCCTTTACTGCTTCTGCCTCCATTAGATTTCCTAAGCACTAGTGTGTTAATGTACGTGTTAAAAACAAAATCCTAATGTGATTTACTTATAATGTGTTTGTTCTTTGTCTTATCCTAGTGTCTAAGGTCCTCTCCATGGCTGGACACCAAATAATATTCCTTTACGTGCTAAGTGATATCTGGTGAGAGGATTAATAAATACACTAACCCTAAAGCGTACCATAACCCTAACCCTAACTTGTATCCTAAACCTAACCCGTACCCTAACCCTAACCCATACACTAAGCCTAAACCATACCCTAACCATATCCCATACCGTAACATTAACCCATAGCTGTACACTAACCTCTACCCAAAACCGTACCCTAAACCGTACCCTAACTGTAAACTGTATCCTAACCTGTACCCTAATCCTAACCCATAACTTAACACTAACCCATACCCTAACCCATAACCTACCACTAACCTGCAGCCATGACCTATTCTGTACACTAATTCTAATGCATACCCTAAACCTAAAACTAACCCTAACCCTTACCCTAAACAGTACCCTAATCCTAACCCAAACCCTAACACATACCCTAACACTAACCTGTAGCCATATCCTAAACTGTACCTAAACGTAACCCATACTGTAACCCTAACCCTAAACCGTACCCTAAAACATACCCTAACCCTAACCCGTACCGCAAAACTAACCCTTGACCTAACACGTAACCTAATGCTAACAAGTTGCTTTTACTGAACCTGTACCCTAAACCGTACATGTGCCCTAATTCTAACCCTAAACCTAACCGTATCCCTTACCCTAACCTGTACCCTAACCCTAACCCATCCACTAACACTAACCCATACACTAACCCTAACCCATACACTAACCCTAACCCTAAGCATAAATCGTACTCTAAAAGGTTGCCTAAACCTAAACCATAGCCAAACCCTAAACTGTACTCTAACCCTATCCCGTATCCGAACCCTAGCTGTAAATCTAGACCTAAACCATACCGTAACCCATACCCTAACCCTAACCCATACTGTAACCCTAAAACGTAGCCATACCCGAAAGTGTACTCTAACCCTAACCCGTATCATAACCCTAAAATTAACCACGTTGTCGTACCCTAACCTGTACCCTAAACTGTATCCGTTCCCTAAACCTAACCTTAACCATAAACTTAACCCTAACCATAACCCTTACACTAACCATACCCTAATCCTAATCTGTACACTAACATACACCCTAACATGTACCCTAACCATAAAATGTTGTCGTACCCTAACCTGTACCCTAAACCGTACGCATTCAATAACCTAACCCTAACCCTAATCATAACACTAACACTAACCCTAAACCTTACCATAACCCGTACCCTAATCCTAACCCATACATTAACACTAATCCATACACTAACATGTACTCTAACCATAACCCATTGTTGTACTCTAACGTGTACCTTAAACCCTACCCATTCCCTAAAACTAGCCCTAACCCTAACCCTAAACCTTACCCTAAACTGTACCCTAAAACTAAGCCATACATTAACTCTAACCCATACCCTAACACGTACCCTAAACCTAAACCGTTGTCATAACCTAACCTGCACCCTAAACTGTACCCATTCCCTAACCCTAACCCTACCCTAACCCTAACCCTAACACTAACCTTAAACCTTACCCAAACCCTTATCCTAAACCTAACGCATATATAAACACTAACCCATACCCTAACACGTACCCTAACCCTAATCCATTGTTGTATCCTAAACTGTACGCTAAACCGTACCTGTTCCCTAACCCTAACCTAAGATTAAACCGTACCCTAATCCTAACCCGTACACTAACACTAACCCATACCCTAACCCTAAGCTGTTGTCGTAGGCTAACCTGTACCCTAAACCGTAACCATTCCCTAACCCTAACCCTAACCCTAACCCTAATCCTAATCCTAACACTAACCCTAAAAATTACCCTAACACGTAACCTAATCCTAACCCGTACACTAACACTAACCAGAACACTAACACATACTGTAACACTAAGCCATTGTCGCACCCTAAATTGTACCCTAAACTGTACCCATTCCCTAACCCTAACCCTAACCAAACCCTAACACTAACCCTAACCCTAAACTGTACCATAATCCTAACCCGAATACTAACAATAACCCTAAATCTCACAGTAACCCATATCCTAAATCTAACCCATACACTAATACTAACCCGTACCCTAACAAGTATCCTAACCCTAAGCCATTGCCGTAGCCTAACCTGTACCCTAAACTGTACCCATTCCCTAAAGCTAACCCTAAGCCTAACACTATCCCTTACCCTGAACCATACCCTAATCTTCACCCATACACTAACACTAACCAGGACCCTAACATGTAACCTAAATCAAACCTGTTGTCGTAAATTAAGCCGTACCCTAAACCGTACACATTCCCTAAACGTAACCCTAACCCTAAGCCTAACGCTAACCTTACCCTAAACTATACCCTAATACTAACCCATACACTAACACTAACCCTTACCTAACATGTACACAAACACTTACATTTTGTTATACCTTAAACTGTACCATAAACCATACCCGTTCCCTAAACCAAACCCTAAACCTAACCTTAAACCTTACACTAACACGTACAGTAATCCTAACCAGTACTGAAACACTAACCCATATCCTAACACGTACCCTAAATCTAACCCATTGTCGTACTCTAACTTGTACCCTAAACCAAACCTGTTCCCTAACCGTAACCCTAACCCTAACCCTAATCCTAACCTTACCCTAAACCATACCATAATCCTAACAAGTACACTAACACTAACCCATACCCTAACACGTTCCCTAACCCGTTGTCATACCCTAACCTGTACCCTGAACCATACCCATTCCCTAACACTAACCCTAACCCTAACACTAACCCTAACCTTACCCTAAACCATACCCTAATCCTAAACCGTACACTAACACTAACCCGTTCCCTAACACATACCCTAAATCTAACCTGTTGTATCCTAACCTGTACCCTAAACCATACCCATTACCTAACCGTAACCCTAACCCTAACACTAACCTTACCCTGAACTGTACCCTAATCCTAACGTGTACACTAACAATAACCCATGCCCTAACACGTAGCCTACCTCTACCCTGTGGTCATACCCTAAGCTGTACCCTAAACCGTACCCATTCCCTAACCCTAACCCTAACCTTACCCTATCCCGTACCCTAATCCTAAACCATACACTAACACTAAACCGTACCCTAACAACTACCCTAAGCCTAACACGGTTGTCGTACCCTAACCTGAACCCTAAAGTGTACCCACACCCTAACCCTAACACTAACCCAAACCCTAAAATTTACACTAACCCGAACCCTTATACGAACACGTACACTAACTCATAACCTAACACGTACCCTAACCCTAAACCGTTGTCCTACCATAACCTGTACCCTAAACCCTACCCATTCCCTAACCGTAACTCTAAAACTCACCCTAAAACTTACTGTAAACCGTAAACTAACCCTAACCCGTACACTAACACTAACCCACACCCTAACATGTACCTTAACCCTAACACGTTTTTGTACCCAAAACAGTACCCTAAACTATACCCGTTCCCTAAACCTAACTGTAACCCTAACCCTAAGTTACCCTAACCCGTACCATAATCCTAACCCATACACTAACACTAAACCGTATCCTAACATGTACCCTAACCCTAACACGTTGTTGTACCCTAAGCTTAACCCTAAACTGTACCCATTCCCTAACCCTAACCCTAACCCTAAACCTTACCCTAACACGTATCTTTATCCAAACCCATACACGAACACTAACCCATACCCTAACACGTACCCTAACACTAAAACGTTGTTTTACCCTATTCTGTACCCTAAACCTGAACCGATCCATAACACTAACGCTAATCATAACCACAACCCTAACCCTAACATGTTGTCGTACCCCAACCAGTACATTAATCGTTACCCATTCCGTAACCCTAACTTTAACTGTAACACAAACACTAACCCTAAACCTTACCCTAACCCGTAACCTAATCCTAACCCATACACTAACACTAACCCATACCCTAACAGGTACCCTAACCCTAAATCGTTGTCGTACACTAACCTGTACCTTAAACCATAACTGTTCCCAAAGCCTAACCCTAAACCTAAACCTAATACTTACCCAAACCCTAAAACTTACCGTAATCCGTACCCTAATCCTAACCCGTATACTAACATTTTCCCGGACTATAACACGTACCCTAACCCTAAACCATTGTCGTACCCTTAACTGTACCCTAAATCATATCCGTTCCCTAATCCTAACCCTAACCTTAACCATAACCCTAACACTAACACTAAAGCTTACCAAGCATGTACTCTAATTCTAAGATGTACACGAAAACTAACCCGTACTGTAACACGTACCCTAACCCTAAACCTTTGTCATATCCTAACTTGCACCCTCAACCATACACGTTCCCTAACCATAAAACTAATCTTAAACCTAACCCTAACACTAAACCGAAACCTTACCCTAACCCTAACCCTTACCCTAACCCGTAACCTAATCCTAAACCGTACACTAACACTAACCCATTCCCTAACACATACCGTAACCCTAATATGTTGTCGTAGCCTAACCTGTAACTTAAACTATAACCGTTGCCTAACTCTAACCCTAAATTTAACCCTAAATGTAACACTAACTCTAAACTTAACCGTAACACGTACCTTAACCCTAACCCGAACACTAACACTAAACCATAGTCTAAAACGTACCCTAAACCTAACCTGTTGTCGTACCCTAAAGCGTACCCTAAACCGAACCCTTTCCCTAGCCCTAAACCTAAGTCTGACCCTAACCTGTACCCTAATCCTAACCAGTACACTACCACGAACCCATACCCTAACATGTACCCTAAACAGAAACCATTGTCGTACGCTAACCTGTAACCTAAAGCATACTGTTCCCTAACCCTAAACCTAATCGTAACCCTAACACTTACCCTAACCCATACACTAATCCTAACTAGTACACTAACACTAACCAATACCCTAACGTGTACCTGAACCCTAACATGTTGTCGTATCCTAAAATGTACCCTAAACCGTAGCCGTTCCCTAACCCTAATCCTAAACTTAACCCTTCACCTAATTCTAACCCTTAACGTTACGCGAATCCGTACCCTAATCCTAACCCGTACACTAACAATAACCCATACCCTTACACGTACCCTAATCCTAAACCGTTGTTTTACCTTTACCTGTACCCTAAACCATACCGTTCCCTAACCCTTACCCTAAGCCTAAACCTAACACTAACGCTAAACCTTACATGAACCCGTACCCTAAACCTAACCTGTACACTAACACTAACCCATACCCTAACATGTACCCTAAACCTAAACTATTATCGTAAGCTAACCTTTACCCTAAAGCATACCCGTTTCCTAACCCTAAGCCTAATCCTAATCCTTACACTAACCCATACCTTAATCCTAACCCGTACACTACCACTAACCCATACCCTAACACATACCCTAACCCTAAATCGTCATTGTACAATAACCTGTACCCTAAAACATACGTGTACCCTAAACAAAACTCTAACCCTAACGCTAATCCTAGTCCAAACCCTACCCGTTCCCTAACCATAAACCGAAACTTAACCCTAACTTTACCTTAAACCATACCCTAATCCTAACCTGTATAGTATCACTAACCTGTACCCTAACACGTACCCTAACACTAAAACGTTGTTGTACCCTAACCTGTACCCTAAACCATACCTGTTCCCTAATCCTAACCCTAAAACTAACTCTAACCCTAAACCTTGCCGTAACCCATAACAGAATCCTAACTCGTACACTAAAACAAATTCACAATGTAACACATACCCAAACCCTAACATGTTGTCCTACCCTGATCTGTACCCTAAACCATACCCGTTTTCTAACTCTAACCCTAAACTTAATCCTAACCCTAACACTAACACTAAACCTTACACTAACCTGTACTCTAATCTTCACCGGTACACTAAAACTAACCCGTAGCCTAACACGTACCCTAACCCTAACACTTGTTGTATCCTAACCTGAACCCTAAACTGTACCCATTCTCTAACCCTAACACTAACCCTAACCGTAATCCTAACCTTACCCTAAACCGTACCATAATCCTAACAAGTACACTAACACTAACCCGTACCCTAACACATTCCCTAACACATTGTCATACCCTAACCTGTACCCTGAACCGTACCCGTTCCCTAACACTAACCTTAACCCTAACACTAACCCTAACCTTACCCTAAACCATACCCTAATCCTAAACCATACACTAACACTAACCCTAACCCTAACACGTACCCTAAATCTAACCTGTTGTTGTATCCTAACCTGTACCCTATACCGTACCCGTTACCTAACTGTAACCCTAACCCTAACACTAACCTTACCCTGAACCATACACTAATCCTAACCCGTACACTAACAATAACCCATGCCCTAACACGTAGCCTACCTCTACCCCGTGGTCATACCCTAAACTGTACCCTAAACCGTACCCATTCCCTAGCCCTAACCCTAACATTACCCTAACCCATATCTTTATCCGAAACCGTACACTAACAGTAACCCGTACCCTAACATGTACTATAATCTTAAACCATTATTGTACCCTAATCTGTACCCTGAACCATAACTGATCCATAACACTAACGCTAACCATAACCCCAACCCTAATCCTAACACGTTGTCATACCCTAACCTGTACGTTAAAAGATACCCATTCCCTAACCCTAACCCTAACTTTAACCCTAACCCAAACACTAACCCTAAGCCTTACCCTAACCCATAACCTATTCCTGACCCATACACTAACGCTAATCCATACCCTAATACGTACCCTAACCCTAAATCGTTGTTGTACACTAACCTGTACCTTAAACCATACCCGTTCCCAAAGCCTAACCCTAAACCTGACCCTAATACTTACCCAAACCCTTAAACTTACCCTAACCCGTACCCTAATCCTAACCCATACACTAACACTAACCCGTACCGTAACATGTACCCTAACCCTAAACCATTGTTGTATCCTTAACTGTACCCTAAATCATACCCATTCCCTAAGCCTAACCCTAACTTTAACCATAACGCTAACATTAACACTAAAGCTTACCCAGCATGTACCCTAATTCTAAGCTGTACACGAAAACTAACCTGTACTGTAACACTTACACTAACCCTCAACCTTTGTCGTATCCTAACTTGTACCCTCAACCATAAACGTTCCCTAACCATATAACTAACCTTAAACCTAACACTAACACTAAACCTAAACCTTACCCTATCCCATACCCTAATCCTAACACGTACACTAAAACTAAACCATATCCTAACACGTACCCTAACCCTAAAGAGTTGTGCACTAAAATGTATCCTAAAACATAGCCATTCCCTAACCCTAACCCTAACCCTAAACCTTACCCTAAACTGTACTGTACTCCTAAACCATACACTAACACTAACCCGTATGCTAACACATACCCTAACTCTAACACGTTGTCATATGCTAACCTGTACCCTAAACTATAACAGTTCACTAATTCTAACCCTAAACTTAACCCTAACCCTAACACTAACTCTAAACCAAACACTAACCCGTACCTTAATCATAAACTGTACACTAACACTAAACCACACCCTAACACGTACCCTAAATCTAAACTGTTGTTGTACCCTAACGTGTACCCTAAACTGTACCCATTCCCTAACCCTAACAATAGCCATAACCCTAAACTTTGTCCTAACACGTACCCTAATCCTAACCTGTACACTAACACAAACCTGTACCTTAACACGTACCAAAATCCTAACCCGTTGTCGTACACTATAATATACCCTAAACCATATGCGTTCCCTAACCCTAACCCTAACTTTAACACTAACAATAACAGTAACCCTAAACCTTACCCTAACCCGTACCCTAATCCTAAACCATACACTAATGCTAACCCATACCCTAAACCTAAACCGTTGTCGTACACTAACCTGTACCTTAAACCATACCCATTCCCAAAGCCTAACACTATACCTAATCCTAATACTTACCCTAACCCATACCCTAATCCTAACCCTTACACTAACACTAACCCATACCCTAACACGTATCCTATCTCTAAACCGTTGTCGTACCCTAACCTGTAACCTAAGCCATACCCGTTCCCTAACCCTAACCTAAACTTAACCCTAAACCTAACAGTAACCCAAAACCTTACCCTAAACCGTACCCTAATCCTTACCTGTACACAAACACAAACCCGTACCCTAACACGTACCCTAACCCTAACCCATTGTTGTACCCTAAACTGTATCCAAAACCATATCCATTCCCTAACCCTAACCCTATTCCTTAGCCTAATCCGTACCCTAATTCTAACTCGTACACTACCACTAACCCATACACTACCACGTACCCTAAGCCTAAACTGTTGTCATACAATAACCTGCACCCTAAAACGTACCTGTTCCTTAACACTAACGCTAAACCTCACCCTAAACCTTACCCTAACCCATAACCTAACCCTAACCCATACACTAACACTAACCCATTCCCTAACACGTACCTTAACCCTAACCTCTTGTTGTACCCTAAACAGTAACCTAAACCACACCCGTTCCCTAAACCTAACACTAACCTTAACACTAACCATAACACTAACCCTAAAACTTACCCAGCATGTACCCTAATTCTAAACCATAGGCGAAAACTAACCTGTACCCTAACGCATACCCTAACCCTAAACCGTTGTCGAACCCAAACTTGTACCCCCAACCATACCTGTTCCCTAACCCTAAAACTAACATTAATCCTAAACCTAACACTAAAACTAAACCTTACCCTATCTCGTACCCTAATGCTAACCCATACACTAAAAGTGAACAATATCCTAACACGTACCCTAACACTAAACAGTCGTTGTACCCTATCCTGTACCCTAAACCATACCCAATCCCTAAATCTAACCCTGACCCTAACCCTAAAAATAACCCTAACCCTTACCCTAACCCGTACCCTAATCCTAACCTGTACACTAACACTAACCCATACCCTAACATGTACCCTAACCCTAACATGTTGTCGTACACTAACCTGTACCCTAAACTATAACCATTCCCTAACTCTAACCCTAAACTTAACCCTAAACCTAACACTAACTCTAAACCAAACCCTAACACGTACCTTAATCCTAACCCGTACAGTAACACTAAACCATACCCTGAAACGTACCCTAAACCTAACCTGTTGTCATACCCTAAAGTGTACCCTAAACTGTACATGTTCCCTAAACCTAAGCCGAACCCTAAACCATACCCAAATCCTAACTAGTACACTACCATGAACCTGTACCCTAGCACATACCCTAAATCTAAACCGTTGTCATACCCTAACCTGTAATCTAAACCGTACCATTCCCTAACCCTAGCCCTAACTGTAACCCTAACCCTTACCCTAACCCATACCCTAATCCTAACTACTACACTAACACTAACCAATAACCTAACACGTACCCGAACCCTAAAACATTGTTGAATCCTAAAATGTACCCTAAACCGTACCCTTTCCCTAACCCTTATTCTAAACTTAACCCTTCACCTAAATCTAACCCCTAACATTAGGCGAACCGGTACCCTAATCCTAACCCGTACACTAACAATAACCCATACCCTAGCACGTACTCTAATACTAAACCTTTGTTGTACCTTAACCTGTACTGTAAACCGTACCATTCTGTAAACCTTACCATAACACTAAACCTAACACTAACACTAAACTTTACACGAACCCGTACCCTAATCCTAACCTGTACAATAACACCCATACCCTAACATGTATGCTAAACCTAAACTGTTGTTGTAACATAACCTGTACCCTAAAACATACCCGTTCCCTAACCCTAAACCTAATCCTAAACCTTACACTAACCCATACCTTAATCCTAACACATACACTACCACTAACCCGTAACCTAACACATACCCTCACCTTAAATCGTTGTCATACACTAACCTGTACCCTAAACCATACGCGTACCCTAAACCAAACTCTAACCCTAACCCTAACCATAACAAAAACCATACCCGTTACCTAACTGTAAACCTAAACCTAACTTTACCCTAAACCGTACCCTAATCCTAATCTGTACACTATCACTAATCTGTACCCTAAGAAGTCCCCTAACCCTAAAATGTTTTCGTACCCTAACCTGTACCCTAAACCATACCTGTACCCTAACCCTAACCCTAACACGTTGTTGTACAATAACCTGTACCCTAAAACATACCCATTCTCTAATTCTAACCCTAAACCTAACCCTAAACCTAACCCTAACACTAAATCTTACACTAACCCGTATTCTAATCTTAACTGGTACACTAACACTAACATGTAGCCTAACACGTACCCTAATCCTAACACGTTGTAGTACATTAACCTGTACCATAAACCATACCTGTTCCCTTACACTAATCCTAACCATAACCATAACCCTTACAAGAAGCCTTACCCTAACCCATACCCTAATCCTAATCCGTACACTAACACTAACCCATACACTAACACGTACCCTGAAACTAAACCGTTGTTGTACCCTAAACTGTACCCTAAACCGTACCCATTCCCTTACACTAACACTAACAGTAACCCGTACCCTAATAGTAACCCGTACATTTCCACTAACCAGTACCCTAACACGTACCCTAACCCTAAAGCACTGACTTACAATAACCTGTAACCTAAACCATACTTGTTCCCTAAAACTAACCCTATACCTTACCCTGAACCGTACCCTAATCCTAACCCGTACACTAACACCAACCCATGCCAACACGTAACCTAACACTAAGCCTTTGTCATACATTAAACTGTACACTAAACCGTACACGTTCCCTAACCATAACCTTAATGCTAACCCTAAATTTAACCCTTACCCGAAACCTTACCCTAATCCCGTACCTTAATCCTAACCCATACACTAACATTAACCTGTACCCTAACACGTACTCTAACCATAAACCGTTTTGTACCCTAACCTGTACGCAAAACTGTACCCATTCCCTAACCCCAATCCTAACCTTAACCCTACATTAATCATTAACCGAAGCATTACCCTAAAACATACTCTAATCCTAACCCATACGCCAACACTAACCCGTGCCCTAACACGTACGCTAACTGTAAACCATTGTTGTACACGAAACTGTACCCTAAACCGTACCCATTCCCTAACCTTAACACTACACGTAACCCTAATCCTTACTCAAAACGTTACCCTAAACCATAACCTAATCCTACCGCATACATTAACACGAACCAGTGCCATAACATGTAAGCTAAGCCTAAACCTTTGTCGTAAACTAACCTGTACCCTAAACCGTACCCGTTCAATAACCCTAACCTTAACAGAAACCCTAACCCTTACCCGAACCATAATCCTAACCCGTACACTAACACTAACCCGTACGCTAACATGTACGCTAAACCTAAACGGCTGTCGTACACTAAACTGTACGGTAAACCGTACCCGTTCCCTAAGACTAACCCTAACACTAACCCTAACCCTTACCCGAAGCCTTACCCTAACCCGTCCACTAATCCTAAACCGTACGCTAACACTAACCCGTACCCTAACACGTACGCTCACCCTAAATAGTTGTCGTACCCTAACCTGTACCCCAAACCTTCCCCATCCATAACCCTAACCCTAACCCTAAACCTTACCCGAAGCCTTACCCGAACCTGTCCCCTAATCCTAACCCGTATGCTAACACTAATGTGTACCCTAACACGTACGCTCACCCTAAACCATTGTCATACACTAACTTGTTCCCTGAAAAGTTGCCGTCCCCTAACCCTAACCCTAACACGAACCCTAACACCTACCCGAAGACGTACCCTAACCCGTACCCTAATCCTAACCCGTACGCTAACACTAACCCGTGACCTCACACGTATGCTCACCTTAAACCGTTGTCGTACCCTAACCCGTCCCCTAACCCTAACCCTAACCCTAACCATAACCCTAACACTTACCAGAAGCCTTACCCTAACCCGTCCCCTAATCCTAACCCATACTCTAACACTAAACCGTGCCCTCACACGTACGCTCCCCCTAAACAGTTGTCGTACCCGAACCTGTACCCTAAACCGTCCCCATCCCCAACTCTAACCCTAACCCTAACCCTAACCCTTAACCAAAGCCTTAACCTAACCCGTCCCCTAATCCTAACCCGTACGCTAACACTAACCTGTGCCCTCAAACGTAAGCTCACCGTAAACCGTTGTCGTACCCTAACCTGTACCCTAAACCGTCCCCATACCCTAACCCTAACCCTAACCCTTAACTGAAGCCTTACCCTAACCTGTCCCCTAATCCTAACCCATACGCTAACACTAACCCGTGCCCTCACACGTACGCTCACCCAAAAGCGTTGTCTTACACTAACCTGTACCCTAAACCGTCCCCGTCCTCAACCCTATCCCTAACCCTAAACCTAATCCTTACCCGAAGCCTAACCCTAACCCGTCCCCTAATCCTAACCCGAACGCTAACACTAACCCGTGCCCTCACATGTACGCTCACCCGAAACTGTGGACATACACTAACTTCTACCGTAAACCGTCCCCGTCCCCGTCCCCTAACCCTAAACCTAACCCTTACCCAAAGCCTTACACTAACCCGTCCCCTAATCCTAACCCGTACGCTAACACTAACCCGTGCCCTCACATGTACGCTCACCCTAAACCGTTCTCGTACCCTCACCTGGACCCTAAACCGTCCCCGTCCCCTAACCCTAACCCTAGCCCGAACCCTAAACTTAACTCTTCCCCGAAGCCTTACCCTCACCCGTCCCCTAATGCTAACCCGTATGCTGACACTAACCCGTGCCCTCACACGTACGCTCACCCTAAACCGTTGTCGTACCCTCACCTGGACCCTAAACCGTCCCCGTCCCCTAACCCTAACCCTAGCCCAAACCCTAACCCTTCCCTGAAGCCTTCCACTCACCCGTCCCCTAATGCAAACCCGTACACTGACACAAACCCGTGCCCTCACACGTACGCTCACCCTAAACCATTGTCCTACTCTCACCTGGACCCTAAACCGTCCCCGTCCCCTAACCTTAACCCTAACCCGAACCATAAGCCTAACAGTGCCCCGAAGCCTTACCCTCACCCATCCCCTAATACTAACCCGTACGCTGACACTAACCCGTGCCCTCACACATACGCTCACCCTAAACCGTTGTCCTACCCTCACCTGGACCCTAAACCGTCCCCGTCCCCTAATCGTAACCGTAGCCAGAACCCTAACCCTAATCCTTCCCCGAAGCCTTACCCTCACCCGTCCCCTAATGCTAACCTGTACACTGACACTAACCTGTGCACTCACACCTACGCTCACCGTAAACCGTTGTCGTACCCTCACCTGGACCCTAAACCATCCCCGTCGCCTAGCCCTAACCATAGCCCGAACCCTAACCCTAACCCTTCCCTGAAGCCTGACCCTCACCCGTCCCATAATCCTAACCCGTACGCTAATACTAACCCGCGCACTCACACGTACGCTCCCCCTAAAGCGTTGTCGTACCCTCACCTGGACCCTAAACCGTCCCCATCCCCTAACCATAACCCTAGCCCGAACTCTAACACTTCCCCGA